TCAAAAATTAGTCTGGATCCGCCCCTGCTCCCGGCCTTGGTAGCACAATCACAAGAGTCCGGGTCAAGTAGTCCTTCAGGTACTCGAAGCTCTTAGCACACGCTTCTAACCAAATAAACTTGACATCCTTCCCAATCAACTTGGTCATTGGTTTAGCCATGCTAGCGAATCTGTTCACAAACTTCCGGTAGTAACCCGCCAATCCTAAGAAACTCCAGACTTCAGTAGCATTTTTAGGCGTTGGCCAATTGGTGATGGTGGTGATCTTTTCGGGGTCGACAGCAACACCGGCTTCTGACACTACATAATCCAAAAATCCAATTTTCCTTTGCCAGAAATTACACTTGCTCAACTTCGCATACAACTTCTGTTCCCGCAGAATATTCATCACCACTTGCAGATGCGACTCATGCTCCCTCATACTCTTCGAGTATATCAGTATGTCGTCGATGAACACGATCACATATTTGTCCAAATATTCTCGAAAAACATTATTTATCAACTTCATAAATGCTACTGGCGCATTGGTCAATCCGAAAGGCATTACTACGAACTCGTAGTGACCATAGCGTGTTCGAAAGGCTGTCTTCCTCACGTCTTCTTCTGCTATCGGAATCTGGTGGTAACTCGAAGCTAAATCTATCTTGGAAAACCACAATGCCCCTTGCAGTTGGTCCAACAACTCATCAATCCTTGGCAGCGGGTACCGATTCTTTATGGTCACCTTGTTCAGCCCCCAATAGTCGATGCAGAGTCTAAAACTTCCATCCTTTTCCTTAACGAATAACAATGGGGCTCCCCATGGTGAACTGCTCGGTCGAATAAACCCCTTGTCGGCTAAGTCCTCCAACTGCTTCTTCAACTCGGCCATTTCAGCCGGTGCCAAGCGATAAGGCGCCTTCGAGATAGGTGCTGTTCCGGGCTCTAACTCTATCGTAAATGCATCACCTCGATAAGGAGGTGGCCCCGATAATGGTTCAAAGACGTCCTTGTACTCTGCGATGACTGGCACAGTCTCTAATGGCACATCTTCCTTGGTCATTGAAATGGTGGCAAAATATGCTTCATTCCCCTTTGCTAGTAACTCCTCCGCCCGCAGCATTGAGATAATGGAAATCCCCGTATGCTACTTAACCCCTTGAAAAACCAGCTTTCCATCTGTCCTTGGGATATGCACTCGGGCTCGCGGACAATCTAGCACAGCTCGGTGTTCAATCAACCAATCCATTCCTAGGATGACTTCATAATGGTTTAACTCCATCTTCACAAGGTTCCCGAACATTGTTACGCCTTCCATCACCATTGGCACTTCCTTATAAATTCCCGCGGACTTCACAGTCTGATCTCCGGCTGTCTCGATCTCCTTCTCCCTCGAGACAAAAATGTCTTTGAAGGTCCAGCACTTTGTCAATGCTGGACACACAAAGCTATGGGTAGCTCCTGTGTCAAACAAAGTATGGGCAGCAACTCCCCCAACCAAAACCGATCCTACACGGTTGGTACTACACTAAGCATGCTATTCGAATTCACACAAGACTCTCAATGAATAAACACAAATGTCTATAAGAATGACATACCCGCGATCGGTTCCACACCACCGTGTTCGCCCACAACATAGACTTGAGGTCTTGCTGGTTGCCCCGCTGGAGGTGCTGGTAACTGAAGCTGTTCACGATTCTGTCCTCTTGGCTGCTGCCCCTGAATCGGAACCGTACATTGCCTTGCAAAGTGTCCAACCTGTCCGCAACGATGACAAGTGCTTCGGATCGGATGGACCACCCGTGGTTGGGCTGCTCTCTGCGTATAGGCTGCTGTACAATCTCTCTTCACATGCCCCGACTGATGGCACCTGTAGCAAACAACACCCCTTGAGGCCGTCCCTTGTGTTGGCTGGGAGTTAGCGGTTTCCCAATTCCTCTTATGATTCTCAGCTCCTTTCCCACTCTTGGCTTGAGCATGCTTGGACAATTTGAGTTCTTCCTGCAACCCAATTTCCTGCTCCGCAGCGGTTTCCACCAGGTCCACCATGCTGACATACTTCCTGATAGAACAACGGTTCTTGAGGTCAATTCTCAATCCCTTCATGAACTTACGAATTAGCTCTGCCTCGCCCATGCGTCTGGTTGTAAACCTCCTCAGACGGTTGAATTCCTCCTTATACTCCCAGACAGTTCGGTTATCCTGACGAAGCTCGTCAAAAGCACTCTTCATCCTGTCCAAGGCCTTTGGCGGAAAGTACTTCCGAGTGAACTCCTCCTTGAAATCAGCACAAGTCAACTCGTAACGTCCTTCTGTCGACTCTACCACACCTTCCCACCAAATCATGGCATCATCTACCAGATACTGCATAGCTAGATCTCTGTGGTACTCTTGTGGACACCTGATTGAATCAAAGTTCTTTTCCAGCTTCTTCCTCCAATTATCAGCAGCCAAGGCACTCGCCTTCCCGTCAAAATAATTCATCTGCATATCCCTCATCAATGTTAACGTTTCCCAGTACGAAGGTCTTTGAGCTGGCACATGCGCAACCGGTGGTGGAGGCGGCGACAGATAATGTGCTCCCCCGTTCTGGCCATTCAACGACGCAGCCTGCTGATGCACATTCCCCATTCCCGGGTCATTCCGCATCTGATCCCCAAAACGGTCACGATACCTCTGCAACTCCTCCAACAGGGCTGCATGCACGGCAGCTTGGTTACCTCCCTCGGCTTCCCCGATTGGGTCCACACCCCCTGGCGCATTCACGGTGTTGTTCTCTTGAACACTTTCTGTCGAAACAGCCTGGCTTTCTTCCCTAACTGCGGGTTGAACAACCCTCGGAGCTCGGACGACACGTGCTCTCTTTGGCTGCATCCTGAACACAGAAGAAGCATGCTGTCAAAAACTCTTCTCAAAGCCGAAACACCTAACACACGAAGAATACAGAGATCAAGTCAAGCTAGGTGATGTTTTTTTATTTTTCTTTTTTAAATACCCCATTTTACCAAAAATGTTTTTTTTCTTTTTAAATCAGTAAATAAACTTTTTCTAAACCCATAATATAAAATATTTTGAAAATATTTAAAAAAAAAAATATTTTAAGAAAAGACTAACTTGAAAACTTATTTTAAAAACTTATTTTTTTTCAATCCGCCTCCCAGGTCAGAACTGGTTTGGCAATCCTTGGCTCTGATACCAATTGTCACACCTGCCTCTTTCAAAACCAAGACGGCATGTTAAAATGCATTAACTTTCACCACAAGAAACCCCTTGCTAGTTCAATGCCACTTTTATTCCCAGGAATCGTATTCAAAACGTCTTACAAATGCCATTTTAACTTAACCAATAAATCCAAATTCAAATAACATCTTTAAAATAAATAACGAATAATAAAACAAAACCCGCTATCTTCTCAAAACCATCACCAAGCCACAAGACTACTCATGAATGTCTACGCGCTCACCTGCAGAGGAAAGAGGGATTAGTATTTCAACAATACTCAGTGAGGACGGATCCTAGGGACCCACGATATACATCTCGCACATGCATAACCATTCCAGACGAAAGTCCTAAGCTAATACACACAGGCAAACACGTCCGAAGACACTCATAGATCAAGAAATGACATCACTAGACCTAACTGGTGCATCCACGCCCTCACCGGCGCACACCCCGTGGCATATAGCGGCCCACACGCTGTCCGTCCCCAAGACGCAGGGCTCGTCAAGCCGCCAACGATGGACTATGGAGTCCCACACGCCTTCATATCCAAACCATACATAACAAGAGAGGTTCCTACATCCTATCCCAACCCGCAAGTGATTTTCCCCATGTAATGCAAACACCTGCAAACACTATTCGTACATCAATCAACAATATTCTATTTAACAACCTATGATACTAAGTTTATCAATCAACAACCGCTGGACAATAATAATTACTAGAGTGTTATATAGCGCTACTAGTCAGGTTCAATCAACAATCAAATACGTGTATTCATATAGATACAGCGCAGATATGCGCGGATTAACAAAAGACTACTCAGTATGAAACAACTATGAATCTGAGAGAGATAGATCACGCCAGTCCTCACTTTAGTCTCAAATCAAAGTGGAAAACAGAAATGGAAGGAGATCTGATTACTGCGGATCCTCGCCGAACGAATCTGGGTATTACGACGGCATGAGTCCAAGCCCACAGCAAATAGAAAAGAAAATTAGAAAAATAACATATTCAGATCTGGAAAAAATAGATCCCGGAAACTAAATCTAGATCTGAAACGAAAAAGGTTCAGATGTACTAACCACATAGTCTAAGCTGAGAGATAGCAGCAGATTCGAGAAGACGGCGCGAAGGGGTACGTTCCCGGTGACTCCAGCGGTTTTCCGGCGATGGCGACGGCGATTTTCCGGCGACGGCTGGTCGGCGGCGGCGGCTCCAACAACTGATCTGGCAAGATGCTCTGAAAAAAACTGGGCAGCGTTTCGCTGAAAATTTCTGAATGGTTTTTTCAGCAAAGAAAGCGCCTGTATTTATAGTGGGAGGGAAATGCAACCTTAGATCAATTCGGAATAAACCTTGGGTTGGTGAATATGCAATCGAAAATGGGCTTCTGTGTACACTCTCTTCTGGGCCTAGGCCTGAGATGTCACAGGTTATATAAGTTTTCAATTGTGTATTTGGGGTAGGTCTATTATATCAAGGTGTAGATTTCACATGATTTTCATGTAAACGGGTCACATGTTTTCAAATTGGTTTAGACTACGTTGTTGCCTTGTTGTTATAGTAAACGGCAGAAGCTGAAACTTGGTGTATAGCCACAGCCCAGATACCCTCTAATCTGGTGTTGCTTCACGCTGTTTCCTAATAAAAAAAAGAACAGAAAAATTAGCAAAACAAATCCTTAAAAATCAAAAAAGAAAAAGAAAACAGAAAACTTTAACATCCAAATGTGACTATCTTACTTTTTTTATAATATTTCGGAACCACTTTGTTTCAAGAGTAGAGTTTACATTTCATAGTTACTCCTCGAACCATTCTTTCACTCCTTTAGCTTGATTTGCAGCCTTTCCACTATTAGACGACGACTTTGAAGAAGAAGCATTAGTTCTGCTTTTTCTTGTTTCTTGAAAACTGGTACATCTGATAACTGGTTTCCCACTGATTATCTCTGGAATGATTTCGGTCGTAACAAAATCTTGACCACAGTTTGGACAAGGCAATGTCTTGTTAAGATAATTAGCTCTCACAAATCTACAATACGTCTTGCATCGATTGCACACTGTCCAAAAGCAAAAGGTATTGACTTTCTCCTTTCTTGATAGAGAATCAGACTCAAGATTCGGCTCATACCATCTTTTCACTCTTTTGTGTGCTTGGTTTTCAGCCTTTGCCGAAGTTGAGTAAGAGGTATCAGAAGATGAACTCATTCTGATGCCTGGCCTCCCATTGATGGTCTCTGGAATTATCTCGGCCGCAACGAAATCTTGACCGCAGTTTGGACAAGACAAGGTCTGGTTGACATAATTAGCCCTCACATATTCACAATATGTCTTGCATCTATTGCACATTGTCCAAAAGGTAGGTTCGAACTTTGGGTTAGGCTTAGGCTGAGGCTTAGGCTTAGGCTTAGGCTTAGGCTTAGGCTTAGGCTTAGGCTTAGGCTTAGGCTTAGGCTCAGGGTGATAAGACCTAGACTCAGACCTAGGCTTAGAGATGAAGATGGCTCTTGTGGGTTTGGTGGTTTCTTCATTCTGCTCTTTTTTTGTTTTCCTTCTTGATTAGACAACTGACACGAAGCTTCTAAGATCAATTTAAACGCGCCTTCGGCTCCATTGAACTTGTTCTTGTCCGGATGAAGCAAGAGAGCTAGCTTCTTGTACTGTTTCTTGACGGTTTCGTCATCGGCTAAACGATCTACGCCGAGAATCCCATACCAATCAGATTCTTTTTTTCCGTTTGTTGCAGAAGAGATATAAACGTTGATTATCATCGACACTTGTTTCAAACCATCGAGCTTTGGATACAGATTCTGTGCCTGGTTGATGAATTGTTTTGCTCCGTAGTAATCATTCTCTGAGAGTTTCTTGTCTGCGAGTTCCATTGCTCTTCTCGCTTCTTCTTCGTTAGATCTCATGTTCGTTGAGAGAGTTTTTTCTCTGCGGAAGCAAATCGGGGAGAAGCAAAAGGATGAAAAGAGAGAAGTTGCTGTCTATGGCGACGAGATTATACACAAATCAGAAATAGATTTGCATCAAATCGGTGAATTTAACAAGACGAGAGGATAAAGTTGGTGAAATCTCGTGTCAAGTGAAGAATCTCTGATGTTGATGGAGAGACTCACTTAAACCCTAGAGACGACAAGAGAAACGAAAGGAGAGGAGAAGATAGTAAAAAACAATAAGACTTACAATACAAGCAGAGCGCGAGGCGGGCGATTTAAGTAGTTTTTTCTTGACGGTGATTTTCATTTTCCTTTTACAAAAAGGAGATAAATTTCCTTTTTTACTTCAAAAAGGGACATATACATATTGCCTTTTTATTATTTTCGGATAAATTTAGGATTTGAAAAATAATCCGTTGTTTTATGACGAAGCTTTTTCAATTAGTTTTGTGATAAAGTTTGAGCATTTTTGGAACATTGGAACTTTTTTTGGCCATTTTCTCAAATATAAAAACTTTAGACCCTTAAAATTAGACAAAATTCAAGGCTTAGACTTAAAGGTTTTGATGAAAAAGGTGGTCAATTTCAAAGGACCCGCGTTAATATTTTAAAACGACTAATAATCTTAACACAAACTAAAACCAGCTTCTAAATAATCCAACAGCTTCTCATAAGAATCATCAAATGTTTTGTGAAAAACTAAAGAAGAATGATAAAACCCGAGTTTGTTTGTAGCATCAGTAAGCTTTGACCTCTTGTTTCTACCAAGTGACTAGTCTTCTAGGACACTTGATAATTCCACGACCATGATCCAACTCGAAATGAGCTTTGGCAAAATCTGTGCTCGAAAAGAACGGTCGTAGATCTGCAATGTCGTATTCGTTGGCCTGCAAATATAAAAGACATTAACAGTTTATAAGAAGCATACTTATGGCTTAAGCACAAACCTAATCATATGAACAGTACCTTTGTCTGCAGCTCTTCTATCTTAACTTCGATAGACGGAAGTCCCGAGTTCGATCCCGAAACGATTTCTTCAAACTTCAAAGCATTCTTAACTAGCTCTTTGAGAAGAACGAGAAGCAAAGAGTTGAAGTCCTTTTTGTATGTAATGTATCGTTTGAAACTCTGCAATAGAATAAGAGTCAGACATCAGAAACCATAGAAGCTCTCACTGAATAAAGCTGTGCAGTAGTTATTTTAATACCTCTCTTAGAGTTCTCTGGGCTCCAAATTTCTGAGTTGAAATGAAAGAGTCGAGCAAGACTCTAATGGCCATGTTAACATCTTCTTCTGTGACATATTGTCTAAGGTGCATCCTAGCATGTGACTCAGACATTCGGATCATGGACTCGAGGTGTCTTGTCGCGATAGAGACTCCTTGTCCGTTCTGAACAAAAGATTAAATAGGTCAGGAGATTCTGCCGGCATTGATTCTTGAAGATTAACTGTCAAAGCAAGAATCCTTACCATTGATTCGCGTCTTAGATTAGCATAAACAGTTTCTAACTTCTTGGCATCTATTTCACTCAGTTTTGGGAATACATACAACTTCGCGTATGTTAAGTATTTCTTCAGTAAGTTCTGGGGAAGAACCTGTATATGAAAATAGCATTACTATCCAGACATGAAAACACGGAAACTTCGAAGAAGCAGCTAAACATGAAATTCACACAAACCTCGGGATCAGAAGAACCGCTAGATCCTTGAACGCCATCTTGGGTCTCGCTATCATCCATCTTACCACCTTTGGGTTGTGATTTGAAGTGACTGTTGACAACAAATTCCGCAAGCATCTCATCCGTCACTGGGTCAACCACATCCTGCAGCCATGTTTAAGTCATGTCAATAAACAAAAAAGTTAACGCAAGCAGTTATGATCACAAGAATGAGTTTAGAAAATGACCTTGACAACACAGAGAATATCAAAACGAGAAAGGATCGGATCTGTCAACTCAACATTTTGAGCAAATGATTTGGATGAATCGTATCTGAAATTGGAATGACACAAACATGTTAACAAGATCAAAATCACAAATTTTAGGTCACTAAATTGAGGCTTTAATTACTCATGTACCTTCCACCAACTGGATTAGCTGCGGCAATAACAGAGCAACGAGCTTGAAGAGAAGTAACTATTCCTGCCTTTGATATACTTATACTCTGCTGTTCCATGGCTTCATGAATACTCACCCTGGTAACAAAACATAAATCATCAACACTAATTTCTTCAGCAAGGTGGTTTATTCAATAGTTGCATTTTCTTACCTGTCTTGGTCATTCATCTTGTCAAACTCATCGATAAGACAAATTCCTCGGTCAGCGAGTACAAGAGCTCCTCCTTCGAGAGTCCACTCCCTTGTAACTGGATCCTTGTGTACTGCTGCAGTCAGACCAACAGCAGAAGCTCCCTTCCCGGTCGTGTAGACAGCTCTCTGACCAGTTTTCTCAACGTATCTAGAAGAAAATATTTTTTGCAGTTAATGAATAATGTTTTTGTAGTTTCGATGGAGATCAATGATTACATTTTATGATGATATTCTTACTTCAGAAATTGTGATTTTGCTGTTCCTGGATCTCCTAGAAGAAGTACATTTATATCTCCACGCAATCTGTGTTTCCCTCTGATATTTTTCTCTTGGCCTCCAAACATCGCAAGAGCAATAGCTGTTTTGATATCTTCGTGGCCATATATCGAGGGAGCAATTGACTTAATGATCTGAGAGAGAAATTGATATAATGTCAAGAGGCATTAAGTATGAACTTTGAAGCAAATCAAAGGATTTCTATCCAACTCACACGTTCAACTATACGTGGGTCCTTGGATAGCTCTTCGATTTGCGTCTTGTCTTCCTGGGTTAGCTTGTATGCAGAGAAGAGGTCTTGCTTCTTAGTAACATAATTTGCTTCCACCACAGTGGCAAAGACAGGAAACCCATTCTTTGTGTTCAAGGATTGGTCGAAATTGTTGGTATATATGCCAGTAACCTCCTGCAAAATATCTCATGGAAGAACAAATCAATAATCTATCATATACAAATGTGCAAGTATACAAGAGGAGTAATATATGACGAGCGTACAATTTCTTCTCCAGGACGAGCGCAATCAATAAGGTCATTCAGCAAGATGACTTCCTTGTGTCTTGGAAGTCGTCCAGCAGGCACTGTTCCTGGACTCTCTTGGATTGTAAGCTTCTGATAGTTCCTGTATATTGTCTGAAACAAAAAGAGTAATTAACAGAGTGGACAACTTCACATTCCAATCGATAGCTCACATTGAAGTTCATTCAGTTAAAGTAAAATGATAGAGAGAACACAGAAACCTACCTGTTCGACATTGACAGTAAACGGTCCTTTTGACTGGCATTCAGAACAAGAACCGACCTTGACTTCTGAATACGAGTTTTGGATGAACGGCCCCAAAATTGCTCCACACTTGTTACAATCATACTTCACCTGCTGAAGCTGAGGGAAGACCCCAGAACGCCTCGTGACAACTCCACCAATGCGGATCATCGTGTTAAGATGAATCTGCCTGATCATCCACAAATATAAAAGGTTTAAGTTGAAAATCTTGGGAAGAATATACAATTTCATCACTATCCACATGAGATTCAGCCATATTAATTACCTTATGTTCCGAATCTGATCATTAACTGGTAGGTTGGTAACACGAACGTAGATCTTCTGGTGGATATTCTTGTAGTTCGGATGCAGATCAAAGATGACATTTTCTGAAACTTCCTCCATGACTTCAAGAACAGGTTGTGGAGCATCCGCAAGCCAGATGGCAATATTCGGGTGGACATGAATGAATTCTTTGTAATCAATTTCCAGACTGCACTTATTAGCTGCAAATAAACCACACATGAAACACAAAACAGTTCAGAGAACTAACGTTTTCAATCTACCAAGTAAAAGAACTACAGCAAATTTACAAGTTACAAAATAAAAGTACCTGAGACCATCTCATTTATCAGACGAACATATTCTCCATTCTCACTATTTGGTTTCACATATGTGAGCAAGAAGTCTTTGAACTTCTTGGCGATGAAACGACGAACTTCGTCTCTCATAACCCATTCCCTCAACGATCCTTGGATTCGATACATCTCAAACTCTGCTTCATCGTCATTGTCATCCTGTATTTACAAACAACGATTAGTACTACTAATGTAATGAACTCAACACTTTGAAGTCGAAAGATACAGGAAACATCATCATATATTCAATACCTCATCTTGATAGTCATCTGTTTGATCAGTCATTGAGATATCTGGCTGTGATGTTCCTGGCGAACTTGGATTCCCATCAGGATCACCACCACCGCCTCCTCTTGGTGGAACCGTAGTTCGAGACCTCTTTGAAGGCCTGTAGTTCCAATCATCTGAATCTGTACACAACAAAGGACCGAACACTCGAATTAGGGTTTTCGATTTCGTCAAAATCATGTGTGCCCATTGCAATCAGTGAACCTAAATACGAGATTAGGGTTTTTAAATGATGAAATTCGGGATCTATTTACCATTATCGTGAAGAAGATGAGGAAGCTTGCGATTAGCGAGGCGGCCTTCCCGAGCTTCGATCACAGCTTCGGCGGCGCGACGGTCATCCGCTTTCTGACCTAGATCTCTATCATCATCGACGGAATCATCCAATCCAGCAGGCTCATAATGATCTTGCTCACCCCTTCCCCCATAATCCCTGCCAATTTCGAGAAGAAATGAGAAAAAGGGGAAAAAAAATTCGCAAATACAAGTGATTTTTTTCAAGTGAAGCGCGTCCTTACTCCATGAAGTTATCGTGGTAGAGATCTTCTCCATCTTCTTCTTCATCTTCCGGCTCATCTGGCTCATCCCTAATGATCTGCGGATCTACCTCGGCTTCTTCTTCATCAGAGAAATTCTCCGAGTTCTGGCTCGTACTGTTTGGTAAATGGTCAGTGTTGAACCCAGCGGAAGAAGGTGAAGCTGGTGACGACGGCTGATTGTCTGAATCTTCTCCCGCCATTTCTCTCTAGCTATCTCTATCTCTCTCTATCTCTATCTCTCTCTATCTCTCTCTATCTCTCTAACTCGCTCCGGTGCCGGAATTTAGGGCACAATAACACTCAGTTATCAGACTGTATCGACGATTTAGGCGGGAGATATTCGCGCCAAATTGGTAAACGCAATGGGCCTATTTGTTTCTGTGTTATGCCCGTGAATGACGACCCATCAGACTATGCTTTCATCAATTAGGCCCAAGTAGAAACAAGAGAAAGGGGTGCTTTGTGTATTTACAAAGAGTTACAAGGATTTAGTTTTTATAAAGATTATGGTGTTAAAAAAGAAACTCGAACCGTTTTGCTCTGAGTGCGATTTTCGATCGATGAAGAGAAACGCATAAAAAACAATTGTTTTCTATCACAATCTCCGGCCGACGTCGGCTCCGGCGTCGGCTGCACTATTTTTTTCTTTTGTTCAAGTTTCTTACGTTTCTACTGCTTCTAATAATTGTCTGCAATAACGATTGTTAAGGAGGTTTCCATGGTGATCCACCTTCAAAGCCTCTGTCTTCTTCTCTTTCTTTGAGAGAGCGATTCTCCGACCATATCCCGGCTATTATCAATCTGTGTCGGCTTCCCTCCGTTAAGATCCCTTCTATACGGCTTACTTCGGTTCTTTGTTGTAACCGCTCAAATTTGGGATCCTGGCGAATTGCTAATCGATATAGATGATGAATTTCTGAAGGATCGGAAATTTAAATTCAGATTGGTTTTGAATTTGAACGACACCGATATGAACAAACACCGACTTCTGAAACTCATAGTTGTCTCGATCATTACGGTGTTGGTGCTGTCTCGAGGCTTCACTTCTCTAGACTCCGTATTTTCTGTTTTCTTTTGGTTTTGGAAATATTTAGAATGGCCACAACTATGGATTCTAAAGCCACAATGGCAATGGTGTATCCGAATCAGAGAAGCAGAAGATAGCCGATGTATGGATCTACAGAAATTTAGTGATTCAGAGCAAGAGACAACTTTGTCTCAAACAAGAAGAAAATCAAGATTATGCGACTTCTCTACAACCAAAATACATGTAATCTCTTGGTGCGAGGGATTTTGGATCTTTCATCTTCAACAAAAATGGCTTTTAATCACAAAGACAATAGCCAAGGAAAATGTTTTTTTCAGTCCGCGAACAATAATGATAGATCAAGCATATAACAGATATCATTATCTGTTCACGTGGAAATCTTGTCTTACAAAGGAAGCAACAACGTGTAATTGTGGAGGGTTTCTACCAGGAATATCAAGTATATTAGTTTTGAGGAAGCAACAAGAGTCAGAATCATCTTTAACAACATTAAATTTATATTTACTAACTAAAGTAATGCCATGGGCATTTTGGAGTTTCGGCAGCAAACCGATAGCCAACAAAAAGTACGTGAAGAGGGGACATAACATAAATTTTCTGTTAGCCTGTAAGCCTTTTGTAATGATAGCTAGGTTATATTCGACTTCTTTATCGAAATTGTTTTCAATTTTCTATATTTGCGTATAACGGTTGTTTGTATTGATTATGTTTCTTTGTAAACTTTTGATATTAATATAATTGATTTGCAGACAAAAAAAAATATAAAGATTCTGGTGTTATTCAATTAAAAGTTTTCAAAATTATTTAAAAGTCTGGTGTTATTAATTTATGAATTTGTAACAAATAGTTCAAAATCTATAAAAATCTAGAGTTATAAAGAAGCAAAAGAAAAAACCAATTAAAGGGGTGCAACACGAGGACTTCCCGGGAGGTCACCCATCCTAGTACTACTCTCGCCCAAGCACGCTTAGCTGCGGAGTTCTAATGGGATCCGGTGCATTAGTGTTGGTATGATCGCATCCGTTAGTACATGTAACGCAATCGCTAATATGCTTTTGCGCTGACTCATGACCTCTTTTGCCGTGGACCCCACTTGATTAATGGGCTTTTTGGGCATGCTTGGACGGGCGTCTACACTGAGAAAATCGCATTAACCACGTCTGAAATGATCGAATCGGAACCTTTAATTTGGTATGTAAAAGAAAACGGTCCAGAAAAGGGCCTAAACAGCGGAATTTGGGGATTATAAAACTTACCCATGGTCTTCAGACCTTGGGCAAGCCGAAGAGCACTCCTGGGGCTTTCCGAAAAGGTGCTGACGACGGCCTGGTGCCATACGGTCCAGAAGTACGTCGTTCCAAAGGTACGATGTTATTTTTGAAGACGGAAGAAAAAGAAAGAAGCAAAAGAAAAAACCAAAAAAAGGGTGCAACACGAGGACTTCCCAGGAGGTCACCCTACCTAGTACTACTCTCGCCCAAGCACGCTTAACTGCGGAGTTCTGATGGGATCTGGTGCATTAGTGCTGGTATGATCGCACCCGTTAGTACATGTAACGTAATCGCTAATATGCTTTTGCGCTGACTCATGGACTCTTTTGCCATGGACCCCACTTGATTAATGGGCTTTTTGGGCATGCTTGGACGGGCGTCTACACTGAGAAAATCGCGATAACCACTCCGAAATGATCGAATTGGAACCTGTAATTTGGTATGTAAAAGAAAACGGCCCATAAAAGGGTCTAAACAGCGGAATTTGGGAATTTTAAAACTCACCCATGGTCTAAAGACCTTGGACAAGCAGAAGAGCACTCTTGGGGCTTTCCGAAAAGGTGCTGACGGCGGCGTGGTTCCATATGGTCCAGAAGTTACATCGTTCCAAAGGTACGATGTTATTTTCGAAGACGGAAGAAAAAGAAAGAAGCAAAAGAAAAAAACCCAAAAAAAAGGGGTGCAACACGAGGACTTCCCGGGAGGTCACCCATCCTAGTACTACTCTCGCCCAAGCACGCTTAGCTGCAGAGTTCTGATGGGATCCGGTGCATTAGTGCTGGTATGATCGCACCCGTTAGTACATGTAACGCAATCGCTAATATGCTTTTGCGCTGACTCATGGCCTCTTTTGCCGTGGACCCCATTTGATTCATGGGCCTTTTGGGCATGCTTGGACGGGTTTTACACGGAGAAAATCGCGATAACCACGTCCGAAATGATCGAATCGGAACTTGTAATTTGGTATGTAAAATAAAACGGCCCAGAAAAGGCTCTAAACAGCGGAATTTGGGGATTTTAAAACTCACCCATGGTCTTAAGACCTTGGACAAGCAGAAGAGCACTCTTGGGGCTTTCCGAAAAGGTGCTGATGGCGGCGTGGTTCCATACAGTCCAGAAGTTATGTCGTTCCAAAGGTACGATGTTATTTTCGAAGACGGAAGAAAAAAAAAGAAGCAAAAGAAAAAACCAATTAAAGGGGTGCAACACGATGACTTCCCGGAAGGTCACCCATCCTAGTACTACTCTCGCCCAAGCACGCTTAGCTGCGGAGTTCTGATGGGATCCGGTGCATTAGTGCTGGTATGATCGCACCCGTTAGTACATATAACGCAATCGCTAATATGCTTTTGCGCTGACTCATGGCCTCTTTTGCCGTGGACCCCACTTGATTCATGGGCTTTTTGGGCATGCTTGGACGGGTTTTTACACTAAGAAAATCGCGATAACCACGTCCAAAATGATCGAATCGGAACCTGTAATTTGGTATGTAAAAGAAAACGACCTAGAAAAGGGTCTAAACAGCAGAATTTGGGGATTTTAAAACTTATCCATGGTCTTAAGACCTTGGGCAAGCCGAAGAGCACTCTTGGGGCTTTCTGAAAAGGTGCTGACAGCGGCGTGGTTCCATACGGTCCCGAAGTTACGTCGTTCCAAAGGTACGATGTTATTTTCGAAGACGGAAGAAAAAGAAAGAAGCAAAAGAAAAAAACCAAAAAAAAGGGTGCAACACGAGGACTTCCCGAGAGGTCACCCATCCTAATACTACTCTCGCCCAAGCACACTTAACTGCGGAGTTCTGATGGGATCCGGTGCATTAGTGCTGGTATGATCTCACCCGTTAGTACATGTAACGCAATCGCTAATATGCTTTTGCGCTGACTCATGGCCTCTTTTGCCGTGGACCCCACTAGATTCATGGGCTTTTTGGGCATGCTAGGACGGGCTTCTACACTGAGAAAATCGCAATAACCACGTCCGAAATGATCGAATCGTAACCTGTAATTTGGTATGTAAAAGATAACGGCTCAGAAAAGGGTCTAAACAGCGGAATTTGGGGATTTTAAATCTCACCCATGGTCTTAAGACCTTGGGCAAGCCGAAGAGCACTCCTGGGGCTTTCCGAAAAGGTGCTGATGGCGGCTTGGTTCCATACGGTCCAGAAGTTACGTCGTTCCAAAGGTACGATGTTATTTTTGAAGACGGAAGAAAAAGAAAAAAGCAAAAGAAAAAACCAAAAAAAGGGGTGCAACACGAGGACTTCCCAGGAGGTCACCCTACCTAGTACTACTCTCGCCCAAGCACGCTTAAATACGGAGTTCTGATGGGATCCAGTGCATTAGTGCTGGTATGATCGCACCCGTTCATACATGTAACGCAATCGCTAATATGCTTTTGCGCTGACTCATGACCTCTTTTGCCGTGGACCCCACATGATTAATGGGTTTTTTGGGCATGCTTGGACGGGCGTCTACACTGAGAAAATCGCATTAACCATGTCCGAAATGATCGAATCGTAACCTGTAATTTGGTATGTAAAAGAAAACGGCCCAGAAAAAGGTCTAAACAGCGGAATTTGGGGATTTTAAAACTTACCCATGGTCTTCAGACCTTGGGCAAGCCGAAGAACACTCTTGGGGCTTTCGGAAAAGGTGCTGACAGCGGCGTGGTTCCATACGGTCCAGAAGTTACGTCGTTCCTAAGGTAAGATGTTATTTTCGAAGACGGAAGAAAAAGAAAGAAGCAAAAGAAAAAACCAATTAAAGGGGTGCAACACAAGGACTTCACGGGAGGTCACCCACCCTAGTACTACTCTCGCCCAAGCACGCTTAGCTGCGGAGTTCTGATGAGATCCGGTGCATTAGTGCTGGTATGATCGCACCCGTTAGTACATGTAACGCAATCGCTAATATGCTTTTGCGCTGACTCATGGCCTCTTTTGCCGTGGACCCCACTTGATTCATGGGCTTTTTGGGCATGCTTGGACGGGCTTCTACACTGAGAAAATCGCAATAACCACGTCCGAAATGATCGAATCGTAACCTGTAATTTGGTATGTAAAAGAAAACGGCCCAGGAAAGGGTCTAAACAGCAGAATTTGGCGATTTTAAAACTCACCCATGGTCTTAAAACCTTGGGCAAGCCGAAGAGCACTCCTGGGGCTTCCCGAAAAGGTGCTTACGGCGGCCTGGTTCCATACGGTCCAGAAGTTACGTCGTTCCAAAGGTACGATGTTATTTTTGAAGACGGAAGAAAAA